CTCGTTGTGGATTATGCATTCAATAGCTCGCGCGAGAAGGGTAGTGTTTTTGGATAGCCTGTCTGCCATACGAGTGCTCTCCGCAGGTGACAGGAGAGGTTATGGCGCCCATGGCTGAGCGGTATGACGGAGAGGATGCCTGGGACTCTGTGTTTTCTGAGTGTATCGCATGCACGTGAAGACAAATTTTATACTCTCCTTTGGATATAATACCGAAGGAATGTGTAGTACATAATGCGGTGTGGACATATCACATCACATATACACATAGAAGATAACCTATAATCTGTATGCTGGAAATGTGGCTATGAGAAGGATTTATTATTCCTTTACGTGCAGGAATATAGTATAGACAGGAAAGTAGTATCCGGCTGTTTGTTATTACGCTGATTATTAAACTCTGAATAAAGAGCTATATACATATAGACTCACAGTAACATACTGTGAGCGAACATGTGATATCATGCTCCAATGCATAGACTGTAGTTCTTAGATTAGAAATAGAATGAGAGATATTAATATTAATTGTTAGTATGTGCTTAACGGAGATAAAGTGACTGCTTTGGATACATTATGATAGAAAATACAGTCTGCGGAGGTGACATATCACTTTATACAGAGAAGGGACCTTGAGATGTAAAATACTTAAATCACTGCTGTGGGAGTGACATACGTACTTGCTAAAGTATAGTATAGGAAAGTAATTAAAAATTACTACCATCACCCTTAGTTGAAGCTAAAATAACATATATACAGCACATAGTAGTATATTAGTATATTGTGGGTATACGCTGCGCTGCGACGCCAGTGATGTGAGCTCGGTTTAGGCTAGGCAGTAGCCTGAGAGGTAGAAAGTTTATAAAGCATTTAATACACGTAAATTAAAGATGTTTTGTATACAAGATTAGATATCCGACAGTTAGATCGAGGAGGTGACTTTTAAAGACTGCATTACTAAGGCAGCTGTGAGCTTGGTTTATGCTAGGTAGTAGCGTAAAGGGCAGGAAGTATATAAAGCATTCTATATACGTAAATGAAAGATGTTTTGCATATAAGATTAGAGATTCGATAACCTGATCAAGGATATGACATTTAAAGACTGCATTGCTAAGGTAGCTGTGAGCTTGGTCTATGTTAGGCAGTTGCGTAAAGGTAGGAAATATACAAAACATTTAATATACATAAATGAAAGATGTTTTGCATATAAGATCAGAGATTCGATAGCCAGATCAAATAGATGACATTTTTAGACTGCATAACTAAGACAGCGGTGAGGTTGCCTTATGTTGGGCAGTAGTGTAATGGGTAGGAGGTATATAAAGCATCTAATATAAGTAAGTGAAAGACGTTTTGTATATAAGATTTGAGATTCGATAGCTAGATCGAGGAGATGACATTTAAAGTCTGTACTACTAAGGCAGTGGTGAGCCTGGCTAATGTTAGGCAGTATCGTAAGAGGTAGAAAGTACATAAAACATTTAATATACGTAAATGAAAGACGTTTTGCATATAAAAATAGAAACTCGATAGCCAGATCAATGAGGTGACATTTAAAGACTGCATTACTAAAGCAGATACCAGTGCAGTGTTGTTTTGCAAATTAACAGTGGAGATATATTACTGCGGGGATACGTATCTCTCTGTTGTATGTGTGTAGATTAAAGTTCAGTAAAATCAAGGATATATACATATGGTACAATAGCATTATAGTATAGTGGGGCACACAAGTGGTGTTGCTGCGCCAGTGAAACGAACTTAGTTATGCCAGGCAGTAACATAAGAAATAGAGAATATATATAAAATATGATATGTATGAATATAAATATAAATGACTAGATGAACTTATATATAACTGACTAACAAAAGTTGAAATATCAGGTGCATGAAAACAAAGTACTAGATTTTGGCTTGGGAGGAGGACACGTTTAAATTATTCAGGAGTGAAACTGGCAATTTCTATAAATCTTGATATATTAGAGTAAAGTCCAGTGATTGAATAAAATTCAGGAAAGAGCCGCGTCGTAATAATTCATAGCACAGTAAGCGTTATTGAGAAAATCGGCCTGCGAACACTGTCGCCAGATGACAGGTTGAGGTTAGGTTCCCCATGGTCGACGGCCGAGACGAGAGAACCTTGAACGGCGAACTCTAGAAGACTGTGTGAATTGAAAATATCATTGTTCTTGCATTAATATCGTGCATTCTAACACCGGGGTGACGCTCCCAGCCCATAAAAGCGGCCGAGCTGTCTTCCCCCGGTTCCTCGTCGGCTTGCATTTTCTTTGATTTGGAGGCTCCCTTCATTCCTATATCGAGGAAGCGGATCTGCGGGG